AAAAAAAAAAAAAAAAAAAAGGAAAGACGATGGCAAAGGAACGAAATAAAGGAAGATACTAAAAACAGATAGAAAGTGTGGCCTCTCTCTGCGCCTGTTTTTTTTTCGCCTAACGAGATCCATCGGTAAAATTTCGTCCGACAGAAATTACGATATAACTTTTCGTCCAACTTCTTTCTCTTCTCTTTCCTTTGTTCCTCTTTTTCATCTTTCATTCGGTTTTTTCTTTATCTGTGCCCAATATAGGTGATCAACTACGATAGTCCTAGGGGAGGCGTATCGGTGATCACCGAGAAGGGAGAAGTTACAACGTCGTATCTTTTGGTGCAGCGTGCCCAGCGTGCAGATAGCGGCCAGTATACCTGCCATCCCAGTAACGCTAATACAAAGACAATCCTCGTGCACGTACTTAATGGTATGTACATACATTTACAGAAGAAGTTGGAAGTTCCGCGGTTTTTCGGGTTCTTCGTTAAAGTTGCTAGTTTCTCTCTACTTTTCGGTTTTGTGGTGCTTTAAAGAAATGATATTTCACGTGGAATTCTTGGCTTTGCGACTGTGTCTAGAAGAAAATGCAATTTGATTTATAATTAAAAAGTAGAAAGGGAGGATACTGAGGAACGTCGCAAAATAGCTTTGTTGAGAAAATTAAGTTTTAATATCTTAGGCCACTAGAGGGGCAGCGATATTCAAAGACTTTGATTGTATTGTTTGTCAAATGAAATTTATACCCCACTACAGAATTAGCATTTCTTGTTTTTAACCAGTTCACCGAATCTTTAACGCTATCTTATGGAAACATTTTGAACATTATAGTCATTGTGAAATGTAGTCATTAGAAATGTATTATGAAATGGAAAATCACTAAAAACGAACATTCCTCTTTTTCCCCTCTTACTTTTCCATTCAGAAGGGAAGAAATTAATCAACCATCCGGCTTAATTGCTTTCCATGCTTAATAAACGAATAATTCAAAAGTAATAATTATTTTAACGCGCATGTTTAATGGCTTGGAAAAAGTTTGGAATCTGTACCGTTCAAGTTTTGTTTTCCTTTGACATTGAAATAGCTTGAATTTTGATTCTACGTTCAAAAAAGAGATATCGACGGTATATTTGCAGTTCAGTGGCTTGCTTAATCTATTTGCAACGGATGACATACTGGTACGTGTCGGAGCTTTATTAATATTTTAAGGACAATAAATAACGTACCGGTATTCATAAATTCTAGTTGTTTGCTTATATTTCTATCAGTTATTATGGCAGCGTCAATTATAAGAAGAATGAATATTCATTGGGTTCATGTTGGGACTTAAAACAGGCAAAGGCTGTAAATAAAGTAACTGGTAAACATTCGTTTTTATAGATTATGTTATTTTCTTTTACAAAAATTACTTCACCAAAGATCATCTGAAAATCGATGTATACTGTATACGGATAACAATATTCCTTTTTATACAATATGTTACAGCAATAAAAATTCATCCTTCCATTTGAACTTTCCAGGAGTTTCTTTTTTAACTCGTAAGAAAAATGATCCTTTATTGAAAACATCTTTTTGGATGATTCTGTGATGACGATATAACGTATGTACTATAAATTATAAAGCCAATTTTACCAGATGCAAATATATTTATCTCTTAGTTACTTAGTTATTTATAACTTAGTTACTTAGTTACAAAACTACAGTGTTCTGTATACAGGCATTAATCATAATATTTATCTCTTTGATACTTCTTTTCCTCGTAACTTCTTTTCCTGTATACATTTTTGTGTCATTAAAAAAGTTATAAAATTTCAGAGTTTTGTTTTGGATGGCTCATCCTATGTGGTAGTTATTGTGTTAATCAAGCGTTTAGAGGCGAAAGTTTTACACGAGATTGATACTGTTGTGATTTAGTTAAGCTAAAATTAGAGGGATAATTAGTATAAAGAAGAGAGAAGAAATGAATGGCTTGACGTTTGACGGTAATTAACTAGCTGAATTATAGTAATTGTCTGTATTCTTCGGAAAGTGGCTTTTGATGTTTCAGTTGTTGCTCATTTGTTACGCATGAATGTACATTGTACATAGGTTTCTGTTCTTTGTAGGTACACGATGAACGAAATACGTTGTATATTTATTCGAAACAATCGGAGAATTACGTTTTGTGGAAACTGTAAAATGGCCGAGGTACCTGAAACCAACACAATTAACGTTTTAATTGTATAATGTGTCGAAACTTTTAGAACCATGAAGTTTCCAGTATAAAATGGCTCTCCACAAGTTGAAATTGAAATTGCAAATGTTCTAGATATCAAGTATCTGAAATTCATTATAAATTAACATTTAATTTGTATAATATGCAGAAACGTTTAAAACATTTCATATATCCGGTGAGATCACAAAGCTGTTTAAATGGATGCTTCTCTAATTGAAACTTAATTAAAGTAAATGCGAGATCGGAAATAATTTTATGATTGTGATTTCACAAATTTCTTACGTTTGCTTTTATGAACAGCTTATTAATGTATAAGCTCTTCGTATCTGATTGATTTATTATCAGAACCCTGCTGTATATAATTGAACGTAACATTATTAGTTAATTCTCCAAGTCCCAAGTTACAAATTACGAATGATAATTAATTGTTTTGCAGAACAGTAACAAGCTTGGTAATACAACAGACAGAGTTCCGCGAAACAATTTTATAAAGTACAAGCCACGTAAAAAACTTTTTAACAGAAACTTATAATCTTAGAAGTTGTCACTGGCCAATTAACTGTATATTATTAGTTCATTAATTATCCTGCAAGAAGATTATTTTATATGCTTGACTAAGTATAATAACTCATTTATTAACTATCTTCATATTATCAGTGAGGTTGCGTGATGCAACATTCACGACGATTAGTACATGCGAATACAGTTAAGGATTTGAAATCAATAAGGATTGCACGTACTTATGTGCTACACTAATGGCAACCATTTGCTGGAAGCAAGGTGCTATTCCAGGTTAAGCATCGATCGGTTAAAAAGTTACGGGGAAGAAGCGAAGTACAATGCATTTTTCACAGAATTTTTAATTAATTCCTACTTCTTCAATTTCTACGAGAATGTTTGAATCAAGCGCTTTATCCAAAGCTACATTTACACCAAAATCTAATCCTTGGTCAAGAACCTAGACGTAATGGACGACGTCCATCTTGTGGTCAATCAAAGGTCACCAACGGTCATTTTCTCAAAACCATTCCCGCCATCTACCTAACCACCGTGAACGCTCCTGAAGACTTCTGCTCGTCCGACTAATTCCGTGAACAGCGTCCAACTCAAATCACTTTGTGCAAAATAATCTATTACTCGGCTGGCTTCCCTTCGGCAATACTTTCACACGGCACAATCCTCCATGATGAAATTGGAACTTTGAAAAAGTTTCCACATTTGGTGCAGCATTTCTTACAGCGTTCTTTACGGGAGGATCCAATCTTCCAACGAAGCAGGAATTTTAACAAAAAAAAAAAAGAAGAAAAAGAAACGCAGAAATATGCATAAAGAAATTACAAGAATAGAAAGAATTGAAGAAGAGTAATAAATAAAAAAGGTAGTAGCAGTAGTGTGCAATTGGGTTGGCAACTAAGTGATTGCAAATTTTGCCATTAGGTGGTATGGACAAAATCCGCAATCACTTAGTTGCCAATCTAATAGATAATGCTGAATTGCAGAACAGAATTTCAACAATAAAAAGTACGATGAAACGAGAAATAAAAATGGCAGAATAAAGACACCATGGAAAGAACATTCAAGAAAAATTCTAGCAGTTAAAGGTATATACATCAGTAATAAAAGCAATACATACATATTGGGGACTGAATGAAAACTGGGGTTATGTTTGCCACGCAACATGATTGCTGTACAAGTTTTGGTTTCTTATCGTTTTAGGATTCAGTCAATTTGTTCGTGGAAACACCTCGTCGTGTAAACTTTGCCACTTGTCGATTTTACGATCGTGTCATATCGTAAAAACTACTATGATATGATCGAAACTTTTCAAACAATACATATATTGCGATCAGAGTACACATGTATGATATTTGACGCTTGAAGAAAAGGTGAATTTTGCTGAACAAATAATTCTGCGAGCCATTTGAAGTTGAGCACGAGGATAGAAAATGAAATTCGAGTATTACGAATTAACCTTCAACTTACCTAATACAGTGAAACTTGGGGGATATTTCATATCTCAAGAAACGAAGAAAATTTCTCCAAGTATGGCTGGCCCCTTAATTGAGCCGTCTAGGACGAGAGAGGGTCAAGTCAAAAGAGTCGGAAAATCGAGTTAGCTCGACGCTGCTGTTCCACTGAAATTGAATAGCAAGCTTTAAGTATGAATTTCACAAGATGAGATGAAATTGATTTACTTGCCATTCTAGACTGCTTGATCATTTTGAGTCGTATGACCAAGAATAGAAGGGACAATTGAAGGTGAAGAGACACAGCAGCAGGTTCTTAAACCTGCCATTGAAAAACAGAGGTTCTTTTTGCTCATTCCTTCTCTTCCCCTTCATTTTTCATGATGAGGAGAAACAAGTATAAAAATGAGCTATACTTTCGGACAATGCAATTTCGCCCCGAAGACTTTCCTCCTATGACCATAAAAACAACGGAGTTATTTAGATGCTTCCACTTTATATAATATAATATAATGTCGAGGAGACGCTACTAAGTTTACCATCTAAAACGTCCCTCCTTACCTCCTCGCCTTTTCATTAACCCACAATGTACGATGATTTGAAAATCTTCTAGAAACGTAACATTTGTTTTGCAAAGTGATGGAATACACAGTACAATTGAACGCAGGATTGTACTACATGCGAAGATAAATTAAAAATATATGAAAAATTGTCAGATACACGCTGACTTGTCTGATTTTTTAGAAACACATAATCAAATAGGTTACTCTACATGCAAAAATAGGTGGGAAGGTTTTCAAGAAAATAGAATTTGAAAATTTTATAAGTACGCGTCAACTTGACCGATTTCTTATTAAATGAAAGTGGACGATGGTAAAATGGGTATTTTACATGCGAAAATGTAGAATAAAATTGTTTCATTTAAAGCCAGCATTTTGCAAAAAATCGCATTTGAAATTTCCTGGGGTACATTAATTAGTCAAATCCGATTCTCATGAAAATGAACAAATTTTATCACTACATTTTTTAATATATTGTTGAATGTAAAACAACCTTTTACCATATCTCGTATAATAATGTGATATTTTATTAATTATTACAATTACCTAGAAGTTTACGTATTGTAGTTATTTGGCGAATTAAAATGCAGAATAATATACATACAGAAGAATTTTGGCAGTTTTTAAAATGTATTATTCAAAATGTGTTATTAATGTATATTATATCCATTTTTATGTTTTCACTAACTCTTCTACATTTGCATAAATTAGTTCAAAATTAATGAAATTAAAACTGTTTTAATTAGAGACTCTCCTAAATCTAATGTTAGTCACATGCAATCTTTTTTGACCGTGTTGAATGTTACCTGTTATATTGCGTTCATCTTCGTCTTACCATAAAAGGGATAAGAAATATAAATCGCCATCCTGAATCACCCTATCTGTTGGAAGATTTTATCTGAGCTGCCCGATAGATTGCAGCTCTTGCCCCCCGTGTGATTGCTTGAATACACTCGACACAGTTTTACATCGTAATTGATAACTCGCCTGGATATTCGATTTTTCTGTATGTTCAGTTTCTCGATTTCTCGTTCTAGCTACTAACCACGACCCATCAATTTACTATATGAAGACTACAAAACACGATACACGATAAATCAAATTCCTTGTCTTTTTAAGGAGAAGCAGTTTTAAAATTTAGTACGTCACTAATTAATCTTATACCACAAAAATTGTCTTTTTATTTGAATTTACAGTTAAAAATTTGTTTTTTCATATTCTTTAAAATATTACTTATCTTAATAATTGTGCTGTGGCTTTTATAAAACTGTACCAATTTATCAACTATTTTTTAAAAATTTACATCTATCGACCCACCATTGTGGCGGGTAAAAGAAAGAGTAAAATTGTTACCTACGCCATGAATTTTAGTAACATTGTACTAATTGTTTACCATATTGATAATAGCTATCTGTTCTGTGGTGTATATAATATTTATTAATTGCTCGTATTTAAATAGAAATCCATTTTGTAAAAATATGGTGCCTTTTTACATTAGTCATTTTATAAACTTTCTTTTCAGTAGGGTCTTTCAGGTTTTGCGCGACTCTTGTATATTTTAAATATGTAAAAAATTCTATAAGAAGTTACTAAAATACTTCTAGGTATGTAGTTTAAAGTTACAACAGTTAAAACAGTTAAAAATCTTTCCTATTTGTGATTATTTTGCAAAATGAAAATCAATATTTTGCCTAGATCATGGAAGATATTGAGTGCGCCATTTAATGGTTAAAATCCTCCTGTTTAATTATAAAGCAAGAAAAGAAGAAAATTAGCGAAAACGTGCTTATCTATACGTATTTTTCCCCGTAATTTTCATACATAATTATACGTATCTTCGAAAATATGGCTTTCAATGGTAGAGGCGATCTTTGCCAATATTTGCAGGATATTTCGAGACAGTAAAGATCGGATTACCAAACACACCAGCCGACAGTAGCGACACGACGAAAGCAAAGGGAAAAATTTTTAGCTAAAAACGAAGGAACAGTGAAAGAGATATTTCCATTAACACGACTTTCCATTAACTGGTCCGTTAATGAATTCTCGTTAAAAACTACTCCGTTGTCGTAATCGCGTTTCTGTTGCAAAACTCTGAACTCTCCCTCTCCTCTTCCTCTCCCTTTAAAACAGAAAAAGAGGAAAAGGATGGCGTGTGGCGGAGGAAGAGCGGCAGAGATGGTGGAAGGAAAAAGAGAAAAAGAAACGGTGCAGTATTTCATAACACGGTATACTATATAGGAGAAGGTTCGTCGTTTCTCACTGGGCTTTGACCACGTTTACAAAACGAATGAATCCGATCGTTCTCGCCAGAAGATAACGGTCTTAGCAAAAAGCATTCGGTTGAGTGAGAAGAGTAATTAAAGAGATTTCTCAGAGTGCACGGGGCGCGTCGAGCTGAGCTCAGCTATTGTTGTAGTCACCACCACCCCTTTTCCTAGCAAAACCATACTGCCGTAGAGATAGCCTTCAGGAACTGGAATTCCGGATTAGGGAGTCGGGCAGGATATGTCTGACAGAGAAAGATAAACGTCTATCGACGACCAGCCCACGCCGGTTTATCATAAAATCGATATACAGACCATTGTCTATAGTCTCTAGCAAAGATTTTGCTCGTTCAAGACAAGACTGGCAAGACCATCTCTCTAAGTATCGTATTAGTAATGCTCTCCCCTACCTTCCTCCTCACTTCCTGTCTTACTTTTACAATCTTGTCACGTGGCTTTTTGTCACGTAAATGTCGCATACATCATACATGGCTCTCCATATAGATCGTTTTCTAACCTAATCTCCGGGAGCTTCGAAGTTCTCCTTCGGGAGAGAATCCATTTGTATATGACACCCTATAAATTTTTCTATCATTTATCGTTATTTATCATGTTTCATTTTGTACTTCTTTTTCATTTACAGACATTCTATTTGAAATACAAGGTGTTCCAATATTGATGGTATAAACAAAATAGAGGAGATTCTACATGAAAAGAGCAAATCGAAAATATAGAATAAATTTGTTTCACGGTGAGGTTTCGTTTTCGAGAAAATCAAATTTGGAAATTTGCCTAACAAATGTGAATTTGGTTAATTACCAACTGAGCACGAGCTGGGTACAATCAGCAAAAAAATTTCCTCGTTTGTAACATTAATACTGGGACACCTTATATTATTTACATAACCTCTTTTATCTTCTAATTTTCCAATTTTCTTATTTAATAATTTTTCTTATATTTCATTATCATTTTATTCCTTTAATTCATCATTCCTCAGACCTTAACGACGCACAAGAACATTGATGAGAAATATGTACAGTGAGGAAATACCCCGTGATAGAATGCAGACTGGCTTCCTTAAGCAAGCGACTCCTCGTCACAGACTATAATAGCTATTGTGCCGCGTTAATGCGTCTACACTCGGAGAAATCAGAGAAACACTCGATGTTAGAGTCACAGGATACAGAAGAGGCCATCGTATGGTGGTAAAAATGTCTATCTAAACAGAAAAAGCTTTCAAGGTATGAAGATCACTCCCCTTGCAAAGGGATGATATGCTTTTTTTTTAAAGGTGTGGTTGGAAGATTCTTCAGACAAGCACAAGGATCCATGGGTGTGGAAGAAGACTGTTGAAGACCGTTAAAAATTCCGGCAACAATATACATACTGATGGCGGGAATTATCCATATGCAGGGTGTTAGAAAGGGAAAAACTCGAGTTTTCTTTCAAAGGGTACTTTCCTTTTCGATAATCTCGTGAATATTCAGGAGCAAATTACAATCTTTCGTGCTTTCACGGTTAACACGTAATCGCTGTAGTAAAATCCATTTTAGGATTATCGAGTTTTGATTAAAATTTTGTAACGCACATTTCCCTATTTTCGTCTAGTGGGTGTACCAACAAAGAGAGAAACGTAAGAAGGAAGCAGAATCGACCGACCGAACCGAATTTTGAATTCGAGTCTCCTGATTACTACAGGCGCTTTCATCTTGCAGAATCTTATATTCAAGATGGCCGTTATGTCCGTAGAAAATACAAAGTAGAAGGAAAAATCTAAATGTACAAATATCTGAATTCAGGAAATTTTCTGTAAACTTTAGAGGAGAATTATCGTATTACTTAAAATTATCAGGATTGTAACGCAAATTAGTATCTTATCTAACCTAATCCTCAAGTATTCATAATTTCAAATATCTTCAAATAAATACAATATATATCATTTCTCCTAAGATTAAATATAATATAACATATTTACTAAAAGGTTATAAACCTAAAACCGAAACTGAACAAACGCCAAATTATCTCATCTTCAAAAGTTATTAAAATCCAATTTGAAGAGAAATTCACAGAAAATACAAAAATTTAATTTTTGAATTTAAAAGAATATAACGTCATCACAGTGAAAGAATTTCTAGTACTCTTTGTAACATTTGTTTGATGGAATTAACATTGCAAATATTTACTAGAGCATCCTCTATGTGTGTATGTGCGCGCGCGTGGCACACACACACATAGCGTGGCGTAGAGGAGAAACAATTCCAATAAGACGACGGATGGTAGAACGGAATTCAATTTGAATTTTAATCATTGTTCGACAGGGGAACATCCAGCAGCGATGCAACACGGTGGCCAACTGAGGCTGGCAAATCTGCCATTCGTAATGATCTCAACGACTCTGCTGGCCTTCCTGAATCATCGTTATTGAACCCAGCTACCGTCGTGGGATCACGAAATACTCATTTCAGATATTCATCGGTAAATCTCTCTCCTCCCTCTAACGGCTCGTCGTGGAAACATTTAAAGGAGAGACTGTCACGGTGTTACGCTGGAAATTTGATTTTTGCATGAATACGTGCTGAGCAGCTGCGCTTTTGAATCAAATCTTCGAGTCGAGTTGTTCGTAATTTAATCGGGAAGTACGAGCGAACAGGGAATTCCTGATTGCAACAACGTAATATCTAAAGGAAATTTTCATCAAAGTGGAATACATTTATTTCTGTTAATATTATTTGTAAATATTTATTTCTGTGTTCTGCTGTGATATATTCATTGTAAAATTATAGTACTTCTTTTATCATGCAGTAGCTACAAAATGTATTTGCACATACCTGTATTTTTTAATGAAACATTCCTTTATTAAATTCTAATTAGCCTCATTTTCATAGTATCAAATTCTTGTAGTCATACTATAGTACTATTAAATGATATGAAGTTTAATATAATTGAATCTAATAGATTAATATGTAAATTTTATAATAGATACAAAGCTGTACAAAATTGAACAAGTGGTAGCTCTTTTTGATAGCTTTATTTGTTTGATCTTTTAAATTTTTTCTAATTCTTAATTTTTTGTTTTTAATGTAAATAACATAATGTAATGTAAAAAACATAATTAACTAGAGTACCTTTAAAAACAGTAATAAAGAAAATATCAAAATAATTTTTAGTTAATTAATCTGATTTGTAGTAAGAGATTTAAGAGCAATAAAGCTTTATTTAGACATTTACGTTGATGAATTTTCGAAGAAATAATTTACGAGCACGTACTTCGGATAACGTCCCACCCTCATTTATAATAACGTAGACAGTGAAGAAGGAAGTCCCTAAACGGCGGAACTTAACCCGGACAGGGTTGGTCTAACGAAATCTCTTGAAAACTTTGTAACATTAAATACCCTCTAAACCATTAACCTGTTGGCTTCAGAGATTATTCATATTTAAAGCGCCATTACGAGCGAACGAAAGTTCATTAAAAGGTGATATTCATACTTTGTCACCTATTCTTGTAAGATCCCTCTATGAACCGTTCACATAAACAATTAAGTAATCTAGCTTAAAAGATATTATTGTTATATATTAAGTCTTGTATAACTGACTTTAATAGACAAAGACAAATATCATATTTTATTAATGTAATTTTCTATCATTTTTAGATTAAATTAATACGTCACTAGTAGTCGCTTTCTGAAAATTGGAGAACTTCTGGCCACGCAGAAAAATGGCTGCTACGAGAAGGAAGTGACAACCATCTTGAAAGTATACGAACCACGTTAAAAAGATATCGATGAGAAATGGAAACCGTAAAGTGATATTATTGGATCAAGAACACGAGGAGAAAGATCTGTGAAGGAAGAATAGAAAAAGGTGAAGGTGGAATCGGACCATATTGCGGCACAACGGATGCTGAATGTATTATAAGAAAAGTAGTCTGTTGTAACGAAATAATATAAGACTTAATCTATTATAGGGTGTTTCAGAATTGAATAATAAAATGATGCTTTTTTATTTTATAAATGAACGTTACGAAAGAAGTTGATAAAATAAGTTATAAGATAAACTTATAAAATATGAGAGGAAACTTTTTTTAGAACGACCACCATTTTAGGTAATGGAAGTTAGATCAAGTTTCAATTGATTTAGATCACTATATCCATATCTGAAATTTGACGTGAAAGAATATTGATTTAAAATATGGATACTATAATTTATGTACAGTCTTTCCTCTTTTTTATCTCAATTTCGCTTTCATTTGAAAAGATACTATAGTATATGTATTTGGACCATTAATAACTATTAGTAATAAAATAAATTTCTATTCCTTCAATATAATTTTTCAATCTTGAGACATCCTATATTTAAAAAAGTAAGATAAAAAATGAATAAAAAGTAAATTGTCGATGGTAATAATAGTTCGTTGAAGACGAACCGTTTACTGCTGAACAAACTACGATTTTATTTGCTGTGTTACAGTTATGAGACAATACATTGTACTTGCCAAAGGAAATGTAAGAATTACTGTTGAAATGCAATTAAGATTTTTAACCGTTTCGTCATAAACGATTTATTATACAGAGTGGGTTAAATATAAAGTTGTAAGTTGATTTTTCATAAATCACTAAACATATTGACTTCATATTTTTAATTAAATATATCAAATAGGCTAATCACTTACAATAATTTGTAATTTGTTTTAAATGACTAAGGAATTTAAAAAAATATTTCAAATACATATTATACAGTTTGGTAAGAGTTATTATAAATAAAGAATCTAATATCTAACTCCATCTAAAATAAATGAGAAAGTATCACTCTATATTCTTGGATATTGTCCTACAAAAATTTATTTACAATGATTTTCCATATGTGTTATTTAATTTTTAAAAAATGTCAATATGTACAATGATTTCTGAGAAAATAACTTGTAACGCTTTATTTGTCTCACTGTATATATGGAATATAGACTATGTTACAATTTCTAAAGCACGAGAAAATACTGGAGAAAATTTGTTTGTTCTGTGAGATGACAAAACGGGAGAGGAGGAATCGTGAAAATCGTTTTTGACCGTGTAAATTGAGAGTCCGGATTAGAGACACGAAATAAATCTGGATTATCTTCGAATTCGATTCGATTCAATTCGTTTCGATCAGAGAAGAAAATAAGCGTTTCACGCTAGAAAAGACAGTGATAACAAACTGACAATGATGTTTGTTACGAAACAAAAAAACAGCGCAATCATTTTTTTCGTTTTGTTTATTGTATTTTATTATTTTGTTGATAATTACACGAATGTCTGAATAAAAAAATAAATAAGCGGTTTTTCGATGAAGATTCAAAACAAACATCAGACTATGTTCATATTAGAATCACTGTAAAAGGTTAGTCGTGGCTAACAAGAGTATACTTAGGAAATTGTCGCTATGTATATCGAAAACCGAAATTCAATCGAAAATATTGATCGGTTTGAAAATTAATATGCTAAAATATAATAGTAGAGATCGCTTGAATTTAAATTAATATTTTTTGGAATAAACTAATAAACAATTGTATCGATTGTAGAAAGTCTCCTATGGGAACCGAACGGGATTTCTAATAAGAATATAGTTCTGATTTAGGTGGTTGAATCGTGATATTAGCGGCAAACCATAATCCGTTATCGCAGTATAGAAACCGTTAAACTCAAAACGTAAAACTGAAAAAAGATAACCGACTAGGAACGACGGATACTATTAATCTAATAAAAAAATCATACACCTATTCAGTTTTCAGTTTCACGTTGTCTGTCCTGCAAATACTCTCGATAAATGTTACACACGATCCATATTTTTTGGGCATCCGAGCTCAGGGTATACTTCCACACCGTTTTCGGTGACGTAGAAAAATTACAATTTATAATGTGTTCATTGTGTATTAACGCATCTCGTCGTTGGTGTATACACACATATACATACAAAAAGAAAAAACAGCATCGTAATAGTGAACAAAAGTAAGAAATCAGTTGTTAGGATCGTAAGTTCGTTGAGTCACGAGGGTCAAGTTGTACTTAAGGAACTCTCCGTTATGAAGTAACTAAATACTTTTCATCTATCGACCTATGAAGCCAGAAATGGCACAATATCGATAAAAAAAGGAGAAAAAGAATTGGATGCGTGGACCCAAAATTAAAATCGTTCTAATTGGACCAGAATAACGACTGTTAATATTTTATTTAGTTATAAGTTTTCAATAAACGTCGGTTACGTACGTACATTGTTAAAATAAAGTTTTTTCTCATAACCATCATGTGCGTGTATTTGAATGAGCGTGAATGACATTATGAAAATGATAAACGAACGAATGATATATTATGTGCAAAAGAAATATTTCAGTAATCAGATTAAGGGAAAATCGATTCTATAACGGTTACACATGTTCAAAGATTAATTGCAAAAGTAGTTTAAGCGCGTTACACGCGAAAATTTAAACGCAGTTTCTGTTATAGCTGTAAATGGTTTCTGTTGAACCCGCAATATACTATGATTCATTTATGTACTTATCTTCTCTGATATCACTCTGACTAACTTTCCCAGATTGAAATAAAAAATTGTCAATCCCAAAATAGGACAGGTAATTTATAATATTAATAATAAAATTTTATCATATGTAACGTATATTTCCATCCCAATGTTCATGTCATATTAATTGTCTTTTATTCTCTTCGTTTTTCTCAAATTATACAGTTTTTAGAGGATCAGCATCATTTTTTGATACTTGTACATACACAGACTTGTTCAACAGTTTATTTAAAATAGGCGCAAATGTTTTTAGAAAGCCACGTTCGGAATCAGAATGATTTGTTAGAATCACATTAATTCCTTTGTGCGTTGCGTCAAGAACGTCATGGTGCAACATTTCCCCTGTAAGATATAGATCTGCAGATACGTCTTTTAAAACGGATACTCCAGCCCCAGCACAAAGTGCGACAGTTTTAATCGAACCATCTGAAAGATAAAATGGAATTGCAGTATATCAAATTTATAAATTAATTAGGAAATGAACAAAAAATTGATACCTTTTAAATGTGTGCGAGCTAATCTAACGTATTTCAAACCAGTATGTTCTTTCACTAATTGCACAGCTTCTTCGATAGAAATTTCATTTTTTAAAGTGCACATTCTTCCATAGCCATTGTTATTTGTTCCATTTGGTTGAATTGGTATGCTACTTTCAAGCACTTAAACATATAAAATACATTCAAGTACAAGGTAATTATAGAATATTTAAAAAATATTATACTTTAAATTTATACCCTTTTCAAATGCTGACGCCAACCAATCATTTACTCCTCCTCTTATTGAATCAAAACTAGTATGTGGAGAGTACACAGCTATTCTATTTTCTAAACATTTTGCAATAATCTTCCCCTAAAAATTCTCATTTAAATGATAATTTATATAAAATCTCAATTTAGTGTAAAAAAGCAGTAATGTTTTCACTACCTTCCATGAACAAGTTGTTATAGACTTTATGGGGGCAAATATTAAAGGATGATAAGTAATAATCATGTCTGTTTTCGAGTCTAAAGCTTCTTGCATCACAATTTCAGTCAGGTCATTTGTTAGAAGAATGTGTGAAATCAGTTTGGTTTCCGTAGGTTCAACAAGTAAGCCTACGTTATCCCAGGAACCTGCGAGTGATAGATCTGCAAACTGCTTCAAAGTACCTACAACTTGATTTAAAGGCACCCCAGTAACATTCGATTTTATGTCACTCATTGTACAGAATGTATTATATTTGAGCGTTATATCAGAGATTAGAACTTCATAGGTTTTCCACAGCCCACTAAAATGCCTTGACATTCTCAATAACAGAAACATTCCCTAAAACAGAAACAGAAGCAAATCACAATCAGATTATCACAAAATATAGTAAGGATATTTAGTTAACAATAAAGGAAGGAATAAATAATGAATAAAATAAATAAATAATTCATTATTATTTATTACGAACAGATAACATTACATAAAGCAACAATTATTCGTTATAAAACCAAATTTTCACTAAACCATCATCGCTTGCTGATGCAAGTTGTCCAGGAACAGTAGGATGCCACTGCACACAATTTACATCTTGGATATGAGCAGTGTCCATAGAACAAACCATAGTGAAACTTGGCTGATGAGGATCAGAGTCACTATCCTCTTTAAATATTCTAATAATGTCATCACCACACGCAGTCACTAACAAGCCAGTTGTTTTGCACCAATCAATGTCATAAATTGTCCTTGTATGATAACCAGTTATAGTACACACACATTTCCAAACTGATTCATTGTTGTGTGTAACAATTCCTGGTTCATTATCAGGTTTGTACTCTTGCCATATTTTCACTGTTTGATCATCACTACAGGTTGCAATTCGATTGCCCTCCTTGTTCCATGCAAGACTCCAAACTGTTGATGTATGGGATGATAATATATCTATGCACGACCAGTCATTATCCCCTGCATCTTCTTTGAATATCCTTACCGTATTGTCATAACTAGCAGATGCGACAACTTCTTCATTAGGATGCCACCTTATCTAGAATGATTTAAACATATATTTATGGTATTTACATAATGCATTTTGATAATATAATAATAATATACATTTATATTTAACATAAAATAGTAATAAATTAATAACATAAAATAATTACGTACCTTCTTCACATCTTGAGTATGAGCATTAATAACAGCAGCACATTCATATTCATCATCATTTATCTCCCATATCCAAACAGATTTATCACGACTACAAGTAGCTAACAAATGACCACTACAAGACCAACTAACACTCTTCACTTCGTTCTCATGTCCTTCTAATGTTGCATTACATTCAAACTGACCCGACTTATTGTCCCACACAGCAGTGGTTGAATCAAAACTAGCAGAAGCTATGTAATTTCCACAAGGGGACCATGCTATCTCCCTAATAGTTCTAGTGTGACCTTCTGTAAGGATGGTTTTCACAACCCATTTTGAATCTTGTTGTCCCCATATTATAATTGTTTTGTCTTCACCGCAAGATGCAAGACAAGTACCATTTGGATGCCAGCAAACACTCCACACCCTTCCCCTATGACCAGTCAAGGTTTGTTTTAATTCCAATGTTCCCATCTCTACCTGCAACAATAAATGCTTTCTTTTTTAACTTAGTTCAACCGAGCATGTATATTCGTAAATAATATTACAAAATATTACTGTCTGGGGAATATGGGTGAGAAATGTTTGCGCATCGTATTTAAATAGACAAATTTTTTAGTTTTTATAAGTGTTAAGTATATAAAAATGTTGAAGAATAAAACAATTATTCAAGTTTTTAAAAGAAGTTTCTTCTAGATGAAGATTTGAGAATTATATTAAAGGTTTGAGAAATTATGCGAGTGAAAAAAGAATGTTCAATACAATACGATGTATTATGTTCGAATACTTACGATGTACGTTTTGACGGTTTGTTAATTTTGCAGTATAAAAGCAAAAAATATCACCAAACACTATCGCTGGCATTAAATTATGATGTAGAATATGTACACAACACGATTAGATAAACTTGAATGATCGTAGCACACAGTAATGGAAATATTACGTGTGCCATGTAACCATG